TGCCCCCAGTGACCTAATTTCCTCTCACCAAACCCCTTTACCGAAAGAGCCCACCTTTTTCCAATGGCACCACGAGCAGGACCGTGCCTTTAAGCCTTTGGAGGACACTTGCTGTCTGCCTCATTTTTTTCCCATGTTTCCCTGTGGTAAAATACTCTGACAGAAGCAATTTGAGAAAGATTTTACTCTGGCTCACAGTCCAAAATACAGTTCATCATGATGGATGAGTCAAGGCCCCGGGCTACATCCCATCCGCAAATGCGGAGCAAAAAACTATAAATGCAGGCTGATGCCACGTAGGGGATGGTGCCGCCCATGGTGGGCACGTCTTCCCACCTCGACTAATGTGATCAAGGTATGCCCAGAGACTGGTTTCCGGGTTGTCTAGATCCCGTCACTTACAATAACCACCTCCAGACCGTGGCAAACCATCTCAGAGCTTGTAGCGGATGCCCCCTCCCCGACTTTAACCTGGTGGAAGACTTACACCAGGATCTCTCTTCTTCCTAGACTAAAGGATAGAGACATGAAATTGTAACCCCGGCCTTGACTAAGTGATTATTTGTTTTTAGTGCAGCACCATCAACAGACAAATAAAGTCATTGGTTAGGCTGCTTTCTGACTTGTATGAATTTTTGGGTGAACATCGAAAATTAAAGTTCTTCGACGGGGAGGGTGTGTGCGCACACCTTTAATCCCAGCACTTGAGAGACAAGAGACAGGTGAGTCTCTGTGAGTTCGAGGCCAGCCTGGTCTACAAGTGAGTACCAGGACAGCCGGGGCTGTTATCCGAAGTCTCAGTGAGGATAGAAACTTGTCAGTGGTTTTCTCTTCCTACCCGAAGATGATGGCTACTTAGGATGGAAGTTCTGCCAGGAGGGGTCTAATATGCTACAAGGGATGAGTTCTGTGGGTGCCCCAGGGTGCTACATGGAAGGGGCACCCAGGAATAAGGTGAGACATTAAGGGAACATGGAAGCATGGAGGACAGTGGAGAGAGGGCTGTGGGACTGGAGGGAGACACACACATACTCTGTCCAAGCTGAAGAGTGCTTTGCTCCAGCCCTGTTTATTATAAGCACAACGAGGGCACCGAAGAAGGAATTCAGTTGGTCGAATGCCTGTCTAACATGTACAAAGCTCTGGATTCGATCCCCAGCCACACATAAACCCTAGCACTCCTGGTAGAGGTAGGAAAATCAGAAGCTCAAGGTCATCTTGGACTAGATAGTGAGTTCAAGACCAGCCTGGAATATATGAAAATCTATCTTTTTTTTTTTAAATCAAGATACCAGCCGGGCGGTGGTGGCGCACGCCTTTAATCCCAGCACTAGGGAGGCAGAGGCAGGCGGATCTCTGTGGGTTCGAGACCAGCCTGGTCTACAAGAGCTAGTTCCAGGACAGGCTCCAAAACCACAGAGAAACCCTGTCTCGAAAAACCAAAAAAAAAAAAAAAATCAAGATACCAAAATCTGCTTGCCTGGAACTAGACTCTGCATGTCCCTCTACTGTCCATTGGCACTGTGCCCTGGGCACAAACAAGCAGGAGTCAGAGGAAGTCTGGCTCATGTGATTGACAGCAAGCAAGCCAGTGGGATTTCCCTACACCACATCAACCTCAGTAGCACTCCGCCATCAGCATCTGAGGGGCTCAGTCATCAGCAAAAACTATAAAAAGCCCCTGTCGGGGAGCAGCCGTCCTTTGAGAAATGTGAATGCCAGGTAAATGAGCAGCTTCTGCAGGGACAGTTTTTCAGGAGGGAGAAATGCCGTCCTGGAATGACAAGTGACGCTCAAGGCGTCTCCTTCTGCCTCCTTACAGCTTGCCGGACTATCGTTGCTCACCCAGCTTTGGGGGAGCTTAGGTTTTTGGTTGTTTTTTTTTTTTTTTTTAACCCTCACGTGTTTAGACCCCTGATGCATAGCCCAGAACTTTGAGTAAGGTCCAGCAAGCTCTTGAAAATATGCATTTGTCTTTTTCAAAAGTGTTAGGCCTGGATATTCTCAAACATAAAACACCTTGAAAAGACATTCTAGGTATGCAGTAGTTCAGATGCTCTGCTTGACATTTTATGTTCCACGTCAGAGAAAGGGGTTCAGATTGAGGGCTTGCATTAGTCACTTTTCTTCTTGGCGTAGAATAAAACACCAGGCAAGTGGTTTAAGGAAGAAAGGAGTTGATCTGGCTCACGGTTTTGCAGGTATAATACGTCACAGTGGAGAAGGCAGGGCAGGAGGAGTGGGCAGCGTGTGGCCGCATGCTGTCCACCATGGGGTAGCAGAGAGATGAACGCTGCTGTTATACTTGGTGTTCCCCTGTCAGTCCAGGACCCAGGCTGTGGGATGCTGCCACGCACATTAAGGTTGATCCCCCGTCCTCAGTTAAGCCTCTCTAAAAACACACACACACACACACACAATCACGCATGCACGCACACACGTGCGTGCACACACACACGTAGGTGACTCTGAATACAGTCAGGTTGACAACAAATATTAAACATCATAGGGCATTGTTAGCTTGATATTTTCATTTCTTTTTTTTGGCAATAATTTTTTAATTGGGCTAAGAAAACTATGTCATTGATTTAACAAATTAGTGAAACGAGATTATATGAAATGAATTTATAGCCCCACTACAAACTTACTTTTTTTTTCTACCACTCTGATCTTCCCAGCCATCGTGTTCCTTTCCACCCTACAACATTCTCTTGATAAAGATTATTTTGGAGAAATTCACAGCACGACATTGTAGACGTACTAGCAAATGCTGAAGTGTGTGGAACTTTGCTGTAGACCACAGGGCCTGACGGAGTGACGACAGCAGGAAATTGCGGTGACTTCTAATGGCTCATAGAGTTTAATGTCCAGTTCTGTATGATTTAGTCAGAAGGNAACTTTGCTGTAGACCACAGGGCCTGACGGAGTGACGACAGCAGGAAATTGCGGTGACTTCTAATGGCTCATAGAGTTTAATGTCCAGTTCTGTATGATTTAGTCAGAAGGCAGAAATGTGACTGGTGAGTTCTTAAGCTAATGAGACTATGCTATGGGACTTTTTTTTTAATTTATTTATTTATTAAAGATTTCTGTCTCTTCCCCACCGCCGCCTCCCATTTCCCTCCCCCCCCAATCAAGTCCCCCTCCCTCGTCAGCCCAAAGAGCAATCAGGGTTCCCTGCCCTGTGGGAAGTCGAAGGACCACCCTCCTCCATCCAGGTCTAGGAAGGTGAGCATCCAAACTGCCTAGGCTCCCACGAAACCAATACGTGCAGTAGGATCAAAAACCCATTGCCGTTGTTCTTGAGGTCTCAGTAGTCCTCATTGTCCGCTATGTTCAGTGAGTCCGGTTTTTCCCGGGCTTTTTCAGACCCAGGCCAGCTGGCCTTGGTGAGTCCCTGATAGAACATCCCCATTGTCTCAGTGTGTGGGTGGATATTTTCAATTTTTAATCATACCAGTGTGTGTGTGTGTGTGTGTGTGTGTGCGCGCGCGCGTGCGCGCTCATACATGTGGGAGCCAACCTCAGATGTCATTCCTCAGGAGCTCACCAACCTGGCTAGAGTGGCAGGTAGTGCTGAAGAGAACTAAAATCATGATGATGGGGGCTGGAGAGAGAGCCCTTCAGTTAAGAGTGCTTGTGCTCTTCTAGAGGACCGGAGTTTGGTTCCCAGCATCCATAGCAGGCTGGAACTCTAGCCCCATGGGATCCAATGCCCTCTTCTGGCCTCTGTAGGCAGACAGTCACATCACAGACACACACACAGAGAGAGAGAGAGAGAGAGAGAGAGAGAGAGAGAGAGAGAGAGAGAGAGAGAGAGAGAGAGAGAGACCTGAAGAAGGTCATGTGAAAACTTATTTTAAGAACTAGAACGTTATGTCGTCTTTATATATTACAAGTGATAGCTATGCCCCTATACTATGCTGTAGGTTTGCCTCTGAAGGAATGAACAAACCTAATCAGTGTTTCGTTGCAAATGACCATCAGACCTTTGCCTTTTGAGAATTTATTTTCTGTGAACATTTGGTCACAGAAGAATGGCTCAGTCATTGGACTTAGGTGGTCTAAAGCAAAAACATTTTAGCATCTCACAGATATGGAGCCTGAAATCTAAATCAAGGTGTTGGGGGTGTTGGTTCCTTTGGGCAGTCTGCTGAGAAATGTGGTGCGTGCCTCTCTCAATCCTTGACACTTTGTTGGCATACAGCTTCGTCATTCTCACGGCTGCTGCCGTGGTCACATGTTCTCTGTATGACTTTGAGTCCCAAGGCCCCCTTGAGGCACTAGAGTTAGGGCTCGCCCTAGGTCAAGAGGGCTCGCGTCACCTTCAGCTTCTGTAAAGGCTCTATCTTCAGGGACCGAAGAGATGGTTCAGTGGTTCAGAGCACTGACTGCTCTCCCAAAGGACCCAGGTTCAATTCCCAGTATCACAAAACATCTGTTACTTCAGTTTCAGGTGAACTGATGCCCTCTTCTGGGCTTCTCGGGCACTGCACACATGGTGCACAGAGATGCATGCATGCAGAACACTCATGCCTATGAATTGAAAGAGTATAGGCACACATCCTAGAAACCTCCTTCCTCTGAGCCCAGCTGCCTGGTGCCTTCTGCCTATATTTTGAAAGAACACAAATATGTCTCGGGGCCCGGAGAGATGGCGCAGGTATTAAGAGCACTGACTGCTCTTCCAGAGGTCCTGAGTTCAATTCCCAGCAACCACATGGTGATTGACATCCAACTATAATGAGATCTGGTGCCCTCTTTTGGTGCACAGACATACATGCAGACAGAACACTGTACATATATATAATAAATAAATCTTTTAAAAAAGAACACAAATATGTCCAAGAAGCTTGCTACGTCAGAAGATACCACAGAGATGGGGAAGGAATGGGAGCAGAGAGAAGAGGGCCTGGCACCAATGGTATGCCATTGTACCCAGTTGGGGGAAGGATCTGACAGACTAACAGCCTTCTTTTTTTCCCTCTCTTCTTTTTCAGCAAACTGCCTAGCTGGGCTAGAGCTGTTGTTCCCAAAATATTTTATGTGACTGAGAAGGCTTGGAATTATTACCCCTATACAATCACAGGTAAGTCCTCGGCACAGGCCAGCCACATGCAGCAAGTACGGAGCTGGGGCAGAGGTGGAATCTCACTGAGTGAGGGCAGACTGTTCCCACAGGGCCATCTAGAGGTTTTCTAATCCATATTTTCCCCTAAAGTTTGTCCACAAGCAAGCTGTTCGCTTTGGCTTGTTTCTATTTTGCTTTGGATTTTTTTCTCTCTCCTCTCAGAGAATGTGAAAATCTTTAATATTTCTTCTTCCTCACACTCTCTGTTCTGAATACGTATCAGGCCTTATACCCCCGCCCCAGATTCTGATGGCTGTTTCCCAGCCCTCATCCAACAGGGTCTCGGGATCCCACCTCAGCCTCTTTGCACGCTCTTTGTAATTGTTTTTGAAGAAGAAGAAAAAGAAATTAAAAAAAAAAAACCTGCTTTCAGCTGAAAAGATGTCCTTGTGGTTAGTGTAATGTTCTACTGTAATTTTAGTCTCTCGTTTTGCCTTGACAATGCCAGCACTTGGGTTTTTAATTAGCCACAGGTCTATGGGCTAATTGAATCTTGTCTAACTGACCTGATCTGGTCAACCGCAGGAGTACTGTGAAACATAGAGACTTTCAATATTTACAGAAACCTAATTTTCGAAAGGTTTCTTTAGCTCGTTTTTAATAATTATAACTTGTCTGTAACCGTTAGGCTTGTGGTTTGTGTTCTGTGAAACTGGTCTCATTTAGTTTTTTTCTCTCTTTCTCTTCCCTTTGCCATCTGAACGCCTGGGATCAGAATACACAGTAAGTTCATTTAATTTCCTAAATATTCTGCCTGTGATCTGTGGATTAATTAGAATCTTCTTTACATTTGTTTTATTAATGTAGTCATTTTTTAAAAAGAGAAATAATTCAGAATTGGAAATATTTAAATGTGTGCTATTATATAATTTACACACACACACACATATATATAAAGCAATAAGTTAAGTGGTCTTAAATTTTTTCAAGAATATTAATGTAATTAATGTGCCTTAATAGTCACTTTCCATAATTAACTTTGGCCTTCGATTCTTGCATAGCCTGGCTGCTTTATTGGTGGCAATTCACTCTAATAAGGGTATCTTGCAATGTGGTATCAAAGACATTATGGTTTTGGTGGAGGGAGGGGCTTTTATGTTGGGGAGATTCATATACAAATGGTGACACTAGTGCCGGAATGCTCTGTCTCCTTGCCTGGATAAGCTAATTGAATTCCTTCCTGTCCTAGAGACAGACTAGCTGCCTTACTTGGCTTCCTGTTGCTGTGATCAAACTCTGACTACGTGCACCTTGGGACCAGAAAGGGTTTATTTGGTTACACATCCGGATCACAGCCCATTATGAAGGACAGTGAGGACGGACCTTAGAAGCAGAAACTGATGGAGAGAGAGAGGCCTTGGAAGAATACTGCCTGCTGGCTTGCTCCTCCTGGCTCTCTCGGTTTGCTTTCTGATACAACACAGTGCTAGGCAGTACCTAGGGCTGGCGCTGCTCACGGTGGCCTGGGCTTTCCCACATCAATCATTAATCGAAACAATGCCAGAACCCGCTGGAGTTGGAGTCCCAGACATTGTGAGCCACTCATTATGGATGCTAGGGAGCGAATCTGGGTCCTGCAAGAGCGCTCAGTCGTTGAATAACCTCCCAGCCCTTTTTCTGTGTATATCAGCAAGTGGACTTAGGGGCCTTAGGAAGTGGCTTATTTAGTAATGTGCTGGCCTCAAAAGCGTGAGGACTTGAGTTAGATCCCAGCCCCCACTCAGAAGCTGGGTATGACAGTGGGTATGCCAGGATTTGGGTAAGAGGAGGGGCAGTAAGGAGCCAAGCAGATTCCTGACACTCACTGACTGTCCAGCCTGACTGAATCAATGAGCTTAGGTTCAGTGAGAGACCTTGTCTCCAAAAATAAGGCAGAGAGCAATCAAGGAAGACACCTGACATCAATCTCTGACCTCTAGATGCACACATATGAACACGTGCATCCAAACACAAACATGCAACCACACATGCACTCACATAAAAGTTTTGGACTTTGGAGTTGTTTGAATCCTGCTTCTAGTGCCTCCACTTGCCCTCCATGTAAGCCTTCCTTTCCTTGTTTATAAGTGGGGGAGCATCGGGCAGTGGTGGCGCACGCCTTTAATCCCAGCACTTGGGAGGCAGAAGCAGACAGATCCCTGAGTTCGAGGCCAGCCTGGTCTACAGCGTGAATTCCAGGACAGCCAGGACTGTCCCACAGAGATACCCTGTCTCAGAAAACAAAAACAAACAAACAAACAAACAAAAAGCGGGGTACCTCTAGCATTGTCTCCCGAAGGTATAGTGATGATTGTGTTGGACAATTTCTTGAAATCTTTGCCTAGTGTGTGATGCGTGGTCAGTACTCAGCATGTGTCCACTGCTCCATGCGGCACTGTAGCAGAAGCCGCCATCCTTCTAATGGACTCTGAACAGGAACAGAGCTCGGGGCCAGGCCAGCCAGGCTGGGCTCCACTGTGGTCATGGAGGGGCTGTCTAGGGAGCGGATGTTTAATGTTCTCCTCCATCCCACTCTGAAACATTGTGCCTTTTCGTTTGAGGTGAAGTCAGTAGTGATGTGGACAAAGAGAGCTGGTGATTTCAAACTGCACAAAGACAGCTCTTTGCCTGAAATCTTAGGGTTAAATCACCTTGATTTGACCCCATGTGTACATACGACATGTGAACATGATAGATTTTTTTTTTAAAGACAAGGTCTCACTGTGTAGCTCTGGCTGGCCTTGAACAGAGATCCACCTGCTTCCGCTTTCCTCCCCGGATTGCTGGGATTAAAGGTGCGCTACCACAGCCGCTCAGGATAGATGACCGTGACAGAGGAAGTCAGAATGCTGTGTAGAAGTCCTGTCATTTAAAGAATATGTAAGCTTTAGTTACTATTCTCATTGCTGTGATCAAGGAAGGGGACTCGGGAGGGAAAGGTTTATTCAGGTTCACAGTGAGGGGGAATACAGCCCGTCGGGAAGGGGAAGGCTTGGCAGCGAGGCAATTGGGTCGAGTTGCAACCATGGTCAGAGAGTGGAAAGCAATGAACGCTGGTGGTCAGCTTTCTTCCTCATTTTTATCCAGTGCAGGACCCCAGCCCATGGGGTCGAGACACCCACATTCAGGGTGGGTCATTCCACCTCTGTCACTCCAAACTAGAAACTCCCCTGTAGACCTGGAAACGGCCTGCAGACACTTGACAGTGCTGTCCTGTGTGGCCTTGAAGTCTTCCCATAGAAGCCTCGATTCCTCTTGAGGGCTTCTCAGTGGCTTGAACTTCTGCCAAGCCTCTGTCCCCCGCCCCCCAGCATTCCTGCAGCTCTAATGGGACTTTCCTGTTCAAGAAAACTGGGGGTGCAGTATTCAAAGAGGAGGCCCGTTTTAGTTGTCCAGTGCTACCGCACGTGACTTTCTGTTTGACTCAACATTTTACTTGCTCTTCCTTTTTTCTTCCCCCCCCCCCCCCCGTCTTTGTCAAAATTCTTTCTTCCTCAATTCTTTGGGTTGCTGTCTCTCTGTCTGAGCTCAGCAGTCATTCGCTGGGCAGCCATGTGTGCAAGACGTCATGCCTGATGACACCACCGAGCATCTCTGCCCTTTGGGGTCGTAATCTGGTGACAAGAACGTGGACATCCTTAGCACTGTCAGCAAGTCTTGGGCGTCTTTTCGAGGTCACCGAGGACTCGGCTGGCCTCAGCCCTGTCCCACGGGACTGCACACTCAGCAAGCTGAACTGCCAGCTGGGGACCAGACTAGAGGGAAGAAGGAACGAGGATTTGGGGGTACCAGGCTGACAAACCATGGCAGCATGAAAGGAAGGCCCTTGGCCTCTGGACTGGAGCTTTGGGTTTCACGGACATTCTGTCCAGACCCCAGTGCAGGTGACAGGAATGAGTTGCGTGCAGTAAGCTTAGGCAGAAGTTGGTTCGTTCATGGGGTGCTAGGAGGTAAGGCAAGGCCATCAGCCTTAGAAGGTGAAAAAGTACAGGCTGCAGTTAGAGTTGAACTTTGGCATATAAAAAGAACTTACACCACTGCTATGTCCTACGTGTATGGGACATCATCTAAGCAGCATGATTATATGTTAATTAGGTTACAGAGACTGAGACACCTGCAACCCAGTATCGTGGGCCAGGCCTTTAATCCCAACAGTCGGAGTCAGAGGTAGATGGGTATCTTTGAGTGTGAGACTACTGGTCCACATAGTAAGACCCTGTCTCAAAAGAAAATGGTGGGGCGGGGGCGCTGCTGAGATTCCCTATGGACTCAGGGAGAGAAAGGAATGGGAAGTGTAGAACCTGGGAAACTAGCTTGCATTTAACTCCAGTCAATTGCTCACAGAAACTGCTGGAAGGCAGTTCTTGGCTTACTTAGGATTGGCACAGATGGACAGTCGGGTAATGTTTAACGTGTCAAATGAATACATAACTGTCACTATTCCTTTTTTTAAAAAATATATTTTATCTGAGCTCGGAAGTGGTGGCGCGTGCCTTTGTTCCCAGCACTCGCCGGAGACAGAGGCAGGCAGATCTGAGAGTCTACAGAGGGAGTTCCAGGACAGCCAGGACTATACAGAAACTCTGTCTCAAAAAAAGAAAGGCAAAAAAACAATAAAAAAGAAAAAGGAAAAATATTTTATCTGTTATTATGGTGTGGATATGATTTGGATGTGGGGAGGTCAAAGAGCATACGTGCGGAGGTCAAAGAGCAATTTTCAGGAATTGATTCTCTCTCTCTCTCTCTCTCTCTCTCTCTCGTGGTTTTTTGAGACAGGATTTTTTTTTGTAGTTTTGGAGCCTGTCCTGGAACTAGCTCTTGTAGACCAGGCTGGCCTCGAACTCATAGGGATCCATTTGCCTCTGCCTCCCAAGTACTGGGATTAAAGACCTGTGCCACTACCTGGCTGATTCTCTTATACCACTGTAGTTCTGGGATCTAACCAGGGTCGTCCGGCCAGCCTGACACGTGCTTTATACCCACTGAGCCGTCTCACCCAGATCACCGTTTCTTCTCTTTCTTCCTTTCTTTTTTAAATTGCTTATCCTCCTGCCTCCACCTCCTGAGTGCTGGGATTGCAGATATGCACCAGCATGCCCAGTGAATTTAGAACTGGTTCTTAGCAGGTACTCCAACTGAGCTATTCCAGCCCTTATGATATTTGTGTTGATGATGGTGAGTTTGAGGGTTTTATTGTTGTTGTTATCCATTTCTTTGGGTTTTTTTGCCGAAATGGTTCTCATGTGCCCCAGCCTGGCTTCGTACTCCTCGTGTAGCCCAGGATAGCCTGTCAGTACTGCAATGGGGGCCTGTGTTGTAGATAAACGTTATAATTGGAACACGTCTGGGAGATGGTGACATTGCCCTTAACCTGAGGGATCGCAGAACTCACTATAGACATGTGCTGTGTCTTAGCTTGGCCACGAGAACAAAATACCATAAACTGGGCAACTTAAAACAACAGGCATTGATTTATTTACTTAGTGCCCTCCATGAAGACTGGAGGCACTTCCTGGGGTGGCCTTTCTTCTCAAGCGGTGACCTTCTCTCTACATCCTTTCTGTCCTCTCCTTATACGGAACTAATCCCATCTCAGGGCCTCCATCTTCCTGATCGTATCTAAGCCTACTTCCTCCTTAGTTCCCAGCTCCAAATACTGTCACACTGGGTGTCGGGACTTTGATCCAGTGTAGAGCATGCTGATTTAGACCCCGTGGGTAGGTACTGCTGCTGGACTGTGGTGA